TCAAATAAGCAAACAAACAAAAGACAATAAAAGTTCATTCTGTACTTAAATAAGAGCATTTTAAGCCAAGGGCACATTTTAGGGTTAGGAACTGGACTCTGGAAATCCAGCTTTTCAGGGGAATGTTGCAAGACCCTGACGCACAGCAGCTGAGGATGCACCTAAATTTCTTCCCAATGCCTGGTCACTACGGAACATCTTCTGCTTCTGCGGGGAGAGCCGAGCAACGGGACATGCAGAACATGAGAAATGCCATTTTTCCTCCAGCTGTGATCCCTGAAGGGAAAAGAATGTGCCCATTGTTACCGAGTCCCACTGAAGAATTTCCCAGGGAGCTGCATCACGAAGGGGAGGGAGCTGATCCACGCTGCCAGCCCGGAGATGAGGTTCTGGACGCGGTGCCCGACCCACCGCTTCCAGGGGGATCTCTGTACTTGCACCAAGGCTTTAAGAGCCAGCAGACAATGTGTTTGGCCACAGGGCCGGATTCTGCTCCGAGCTGCTGTATTTACACGGCGTGTACTAACGGCATGAAGTCCCCAAACATTGTCCCACCAAAATACCTCAACTCTGAAATCAATGAAGTTACCCCGGCTGAGCACAGATGTGCCGTTAGGAACGTGAGTAATGAGTCCTGACTCACAGAACACTCCTAAATACTCTACAGCTGCTCAAACACAAAAACATGTTGATTTTTTCAGATGAGGGGAAAAAAAGTAATCTTCCGGACAGCCTTCTAGGTAGTCCCAAATCTGCACAAGCATCTTGCGAGGAAAACGGCACTCCTGTTACTCCATAAACAAGAGGTGCTTACCATTAGGTAATTAAAAAATGCCCTAGTACTGCGTAGACAGTGCTCTGCGTTAACCCACGGCAAGTTGTTCACGAGTGCCCCTGAAGGCTTTCTGGATGCCGTGGGGATTCAGAAATATTGACACGTTTTACGAAGGCCATTTTTCACACACTGACACAGGTTTTCCACTTGCCAGCAGTAAATGGCTAGCATGAACTTCTAAAAATAACTTGCTATATTTAGCTGTGCTTTACAAATCTCTTGCAAAGGAATTTACTGAATGTCTAATACTTCTGTTATATATTTATCTTTCCTAATCAGTCCTTTATTGACCGAGTCTTTTACAAACTGCCATTTCACTAGCGCAATCGATCTAGCACCGGCTCCAGGGAGAAGAGCAGGGCTGCGGTTCAAGCACAAATACATTTCTCAGTAACTCTCCCTACCTAGTGGCCTTTTGCTTTGCCAGCTGGTTGTCTGCCCTCTGTACCGTTACCTACACGTACACATCGCCCTCCCGCTTTTCCCCCCGCCTAATTTCTGTTTCCTGTCCTAAACCTCATTTTTCATTCTCATCAATTCCCCTCCTTGCCCAGGCAACCTTGTGGTAAGTGCGCAAACTTGCCTGACAGGCTTATTTTCTTTATTTACTGTTTAATTAAAAAAAAAGACCAACACAGCAATTCTTCACGTTTATCATATATTCCTTACGCTTGCCTTATCTCCCTTACCGACTGACGGAAACCTGCTGTACCCTACCTGTCTTCACGCTCCAGAATTGCTGGCAAGCCTCGCTGCGCTGGAGGGCAGAGCGGGGACGAGACCCGCGCAGAAGCCGTCCTGGCTGCCGCGAGCAGGAGGGGACTGCGGGTCTCCTCACCGACAGCTCAGAAGTTGGGCAACCTATCAGCTCAAAAAACAAAACAGAAAGCAAGCAAGCAAGGTTGGAAGGACGACAAAGTTTTGGGGTATACTGGTCTGTTTTAGAGGAAACTGGAAGTGAGTGACGTGCGTGACAGCTTCTGGGGAGAACGATGCCCGTGTGCTGCGCTCTTCCCCTACCTCTGCTTCAGTGAGTGCTAATTACCCAGTGTAACTTGTCTTCCCTAGACCTTCATAGCGCTAGACGCTGCTGATCAGGCAGACAAGCATGCAGCACAGCCCCATTTTAAAGCAAAGACAAGGAGCAGACCGTTCTCCCAGTGACACCCACTGGCTTGCAGTGGTTTCCCAGAGAGCAGCACTTGAGGCTATACCTTGAATGTTTTTATAAAGGACAGTGTTCAGATTCATTTTTTATGATTTTTTGCTTCTGAACTACCAGGACAGCCATGATCTTAAGCTCCCACGAAGCGCAGGACCCTCCAGCACAGCCTCCTCCCTGGCCTGGCCCGGCCGGGACCGCACACACACAGACGCCCGCGAACAGCAGCACGACGAAACGACCACGAGCATCAGCACCTCGCTTAACGCTCCTCAGGATAAGCAAGAGGTAAAACTACACTTCGAATGCTTGAACTCCTGAAAGGACAATTTTTCACCCCTGGCATTTTTCTGGCCTTTCAAACAGATCTCGCAGCCCTGCAAAGCTGGAGGAGTTCCTTCAGCGAAACTGGAAAAAGACACGAGGCAGAGAGCCCACAACACGTGGCTAACTGAAACACAAGTTAAAAAAAGATTAGCAGAGCAGCTTTAGAAATCAGAAAAAGTGTTGAAATGTGCATTAAGAAATGCTACAACTATAATTTATCTCAATCGTACATGTCATGACATCCATCCAGTATGTCAGAGGGGAAATGACCGAGTTTTCTCCATTAATTTTAAGCCCGGCTTTACAGACAAGTGGTGTTAAGAAGAGCTCCCACCGCCCCCGAAGACCAAAGGGGCTGGCAAACACCCCTCTGGCGGCAGCGCGGCAGCCGGCAGCCTGTCTTGTGCGTTATTTCGCCCCAAACTCTCACGACGGGAACTCCTTCATTTGCAATTCAATTCCCGGCAAAGCCTGACCAGTTCGGAAATTACTATGCTGTGTATTTCAGTTGAGTTAAGGTGATGCAGAGGAAAATGTGCTTCACGAGGACCACCTGGCCACAGCACCCAAGGGTGCCAGGAAGCGACGCCTGCGAGCACCGGGCTCGGCACAGCTCTCGGATGGGAGGACGCAGACCGCGGTCGAGCTCTGTGCCTTGCCGATACAAACGAGCACCACGCAGCACGTTTCCAATACAAGACTCAGTTCCATCACTCAGTTGAGCTCTGACAGGTATATCTGCTTTTTGAGCAGATGCTCAAAGGGTTGTAGATGCAGAAAAGATTCACCGAGGAGATTCACCAAGGAGGAAACGCCGCCACAGCCCTTCGGTCCACCACGGACCAAAGTCCAACCATGGGGGCTGGCTGCTGCATGAACTTCAGACCACCCGGTGTCCAGATCCGTCACTACAACAGCGAATTGCTCAGCACGGCCCTGGAGTGTAGTAAACTCGAGCGAAGGCAGGAGAGCCTGCTGAGAGCCGCAGCGCGAGGGGAACGCTGCCTGCCTCCGCAGGCACCAGCACCGCAGACGAAGGTGGTGCCGGCGGTCCCATGCTGGGGCGGTCAGCAGCTCCCAAACCTGTTACGGGAGGGCTCCAAGGGCGGCAGCACACGGCTGCTTTCCTCGCAAACCTCAAACGCGGAGGCTGCCGGACGCCTGTCCCCTGCAGCAGAGCACACCGAGGCTGCCGACGGGCGCAGGGACGGCGGTGCCAGGTGAGCCGTGGCTGCGGCAGCTGGGCGTCACTGCGGTGACCGGGGCTGTAATTCAAGCAGGCGGCCGGATGGAAGTAGGGTGAGGCTAGGAGGTGGCTCTGTCTGCTGCACCTATTTACGTACCCATTTATATCACCATCCCATGGAGGCCAGTTGCCTTTTCTAACAGCCTTCCCCAACCCCGGGGACGGAGCTTAGCGATGTTGAATAAAGGACAGACTCTTTGAAAAATAAAACCAAAAAGCTGAGCTGCGGAAAGCAAATGAATTTTCTCCTCCCTTGGGAGGAGGGAGCTGTTGAGGAGGGGCTGAGCAGCCCACCTCCTGGGGGCAACAGGAGAACCTCATGCAAAGCGGCCGGTCAGCAACCACAGGGCAGAGCTGCACAAATCCTTGCGGCACTTCAGGCCGCCCGGAGCTCCCCGGCTCCGAGAGCAGCCGAGCAAGCTTTTGGCACGGCTGCTTTGGCGTAAGCGGCAGGAGAGGGTGTGCTCCAAGAGCTGCGGCTCCCTGCTGTACAAGCAGTACGAACACAGGGAAAACAAACACGAAAACAACAGACTCTTATCCGGGGCAGAGCATTAGCAATCCCCACAGAGATATCTTATGATCTGCAGAGCCATCAGATGCATCTCGTTTCAGCTCTCCGGCAGCCACCCTTCCCAGGCAGGGGCAAGGCGAGTGAAAACCAAGCGCTTTTGCAGGCGGCTTCAGCGAGCGAGCGGAGCCAGCGGCACGCGATGATTTCAGAGTTTCCTTCGATAAGGGCGCAGAGCGGGCCAGGCGGGAGGCCAGATGAGTCACACGCGGCGCAAGGGGAAGACTCACGAGCAGCTTATGAGTGATCCGAAGTGGTTCAGCGCGGGGAGGAACGCGCATCCCTCCTGCCCCAGGGCCGGGAGCCGCTGCCAGTGTGGACGCAGCCCGTCCCGCACCAGCTGGCACCACCTGGGAGTATTCACGGGCACCTTCACCCGAGCGGTGGCGGCCCGGACCCGCCCTGCGCACCACCGTTAGGTGGGCTTCGCCGAGAGCTGCCCCACCTCTGGGCACCCCTGCAAGCTCCGCATCCCACGAGATCGCGGGGGTCTGGCTCTGTGCCTCCACCACAGAGGGTCCCCCCACACCCCGCAGGTCCCCAGTTCATCATTTGATGGCACAGAAACAGCTCTTGTCCCTTGTTCCCCATTTTCACAGCTACGAGGTTTAGTAAGATTAATAAAAGTACGCTTGTTTTAAAAGTATCGAGCCTCAGTACTTCATAATCAGTCTTGGCGGGAGGAACAGGATAAAAAAAGGAAAGAGAACAGACTGCAGAGAGCAACCTGAATTCTGGGCTTTACTTATATTTATAAACTTTATCTGAGGGCTATTCAGCTGCTCTTATCATCATTTGAACAACTCGTGACTGCGCATTCACCTGCATGGAGAATTCAGTGACAAAAAAGGCCACCAGCCACAGAGGCAGTGTTTGAACGTGCTCCGGAAAGGAAAAGCCAGCAGGACCCGGGGCTCGCTGCTCCCGAAGGAGCCGCTCAGCCGACAGCGGCGAGGAGTCTGCAAGGCAAAACAAGAGCCAATGTGGAAAAGTCCACCATCACCGAACAAAAATGAGAAGTTGCCAAAAGCTTGTTTCTTCATACGTATCAGAAACTCAAATAGAAGGTTTACACAGTCTGAAATATTTGTTTAATGCTTAGTAAGAAAAATAACCGCTGCCTGCTGAATTTCACCAGCAGTTTCAAAGGAGCTTTCATTTTGGTGTGTTCAATGTCTGTAAAATAGCACCGCTTGTTTGCAGGAAAGAAGTTTGCCCTTTTTTTCTATAAACCTCACAGTTCTTCAAACTGCACAGACACTCTGTACTTCTGAAAGCCGGTGCTGAGGGGCAGCGCTCCCGGCAGCAAAGGTACGGCGTCGGCAGCGCACGGTGCCGCGGCCCGGCACCCACGGCATGCTCTCGCCCCTCTCCCCCTCGGAGAACGGGCCACCTTGGCACCTCAGCTCCTCCTTGCAGACCGGATCCGCAGCCGGGCAGCCAGAGATCGGTGCTAGAGCCACGTTCTCTAGGCAGGTACAACACGGCAGAGGGCCGAGGAGCAGCGCGGCCAGCACCGTGCCGCGGGGAGGTTTCCAGCTGTGGAACAACTGGGGCTGCCGTCGCTGCTCCGCAAAGGCAGGCTGGCACACAGCAGGACAGAAGCCACCCGTGAAAAACTTGTGGGCAAACACGGGATGCCACATCTGTAATTACCAGTGGGCTACCGACAAAATTAATAAATAAAATATTCCAAAAATTTCTCAAGAAAAAGGCCAGAAAAGCTGAGTCTTCGCACGGTGACTCAAGAGGAAACTCTTTGGTCAGCAGCAGCACTGCTGCGAGCCCGTGGGCTGTCAGACACATTACAAAACATGGATAACACCCACATCCAGGAGCCAGGAAAGGCAACAGAGGATGGATGAAAAGCTCTCTGCGTGTCTCGTGTGGCAGAAGAAAAAAATATACTTAAACACATGAAAATGACTTAACCTCTTGCCCTGGCCCTTTGTGCCGACGTACGCAGGCGAGTTCTCAGGCAGCGTATCGGGGCGCTGGTCGGGCTGGAAAAAGTCATCACAAAATATTGTGCATTGGTTTGTTTTAAACTGGGCCAGGGCTGGTCCACAGCCCCTTCACCGGCCCCTGCGCTGGCAGGGAGGGGGCTGGCGCGTGGCACTGCCGCAGCAGGGGCTGGGGAGGGGCGGGGAGGGGACCCAGGCGAAGGTTCTGGCCCGGCACCCCTCGTGCGGGCGATGGCGACACGGAGGGAGCAGCTGTAACCAGCAGAAGCCAGCAGGTCCCGGGGAGGAGGCTGGGGTCCCCACCGGCCCAGCCGCGGGGCAGACCTGGCTCACGCGGGAGGGGAGCGAGGCCGCCCCGGCGCTCCCCGCGGAGCCCAGCACCGTGCAGCTCACGCGGGAGCCACCGCTGCACAGCCACCGAGCTCGGAGCATCAGCCACATGGCAAAGCAAACATGATGGCACCGACACGCAGGGCGAGCAAATTGCTCCGTCCTGGAGCCAAATCTAACAAACACACATCAACAAGCCCCGAAACAAGGGGTAAGATATGCCTCGCAACTGGAGTGGGCAGATACTGTGCATGCTCCTTGTCTTTCCTGCCTGCATCTGAAGATACAGCTTTGGCGGTTGGGGGGAGGGTTGGCTTTTTGTTCTTTTTTTTTTTTTGCTATTGTTTTTTAGTTTCTGGTTAAAGCATGTCTGGTTTAGATTTGCACCAACTTGGGGCCCTAGATTCTGTGCACAGCGCCCACAGCCCAGGAAAACGAGCTGCTTCGTCGTCTGCTGGCTGCAGAGAGACTCCCCTGTTCCTCCCTGTCCTGAGGGTGCTCGCCAGGGAGGGCGGCGCGGGCAGCACGTCAGCTGAAGGCGGCTGTGCTGATGTACAGACACACAAACTTTTTTTGCAAGTCGAGCATCGCTTCGGAGCTGCTGCGAGGGACGGGGAATTTGAACTCCCACTCCACTCAAAGGCAGGGACACGGGCCCACAGAGGGGAAAAAAGGTGATGTGATTTTTTTCAGTGGAAGGAATCACATTTGGTGGACATCGTTATGCACATCCTATTAAGTCAATGACAACAGGGTACTTCCAGTATCACTTCTGTAAATGGTATTGTGTGTTACCAGCACTGCAGAACACTGGGCTCTCCCACATACAGAGACACACACGCACACAGAGTTTATCTACTCAAGGCTTCCCAAGGTCTCTGTGTGAACAGTTTCCAGGTGCTCCTGCTATCGCCTTTGCCATAAGGTGGTGCAAACCACAGCGCAGGCTGTTGCACAGTGATACTCAGGAGCACACAGGTGTCCAAATCCTCAAGATGACATTTTCATTCTATTACTGCATGCTTCTCTTTTGCAGAGGATCCTGGTTCCTGGCTAAATTAGCATGTCCTCGGTGTCTTTAACTTACTGAGTGTAATTGCTTTAGGTCTAGGAGGTGTCTAGGACCACGCAACATCACCCTAAAGCAACTGAGTGTTTTTAAGCTGGATATAGGTCTGGTGTCTCTTCAGACAACTAGAGCTGAGAAGTTAGGAGAAAATTTTAAAAGTTAGCAGCAGTAACTGGAGCCTTTACTGGATGAAACCCCCAGTGAGGACAGAGAAGACCAGCAAAGAGCGGACAAGTACAAGGAGAATACATTATTGCTAGAGGGGAGTGATGTGTTTTCCAGCAAGTCATTTTTCCCCTGCTAAAGTCCAGAAACAGCTTAACGCTCGCTGCTATGGTGTAATGTGCTCCAGGAGAAAGGGGGAAGGTGTCCCCGCAGCAGTGAGCCATCCCCTTCTGGAGAGCCAGCCCCGGGCAGCTCCTCCCCGTGCCACCAGCACGGGTGGAAAACCAGGTCCACAGTGAAACAGGCGGCTTCAGCGATGCTTCAGTGGGAAAGCAGCAGGGAACAAGCAACAGATCTGTGTCTGCGTTCCTTCTCTGCGACGCTTTCCCCAGCCTCCTTCATGTGGGAGGTGAGCGGGGAGGCAGCGGGGCTGGCACCCGGCTGAACTCGGCCCCGCTCTGGGCAGCAGCGTTCAGTCGCTTGCTCTGCCTGCAGCGCCCGGCTCAGGCTCCCCGTAGCGCTCTGCAGCCAAGCAAGACACTGAGAAAACAGCCAAGAAGCCACTTTTACTTTTTCCTGTTAACACACCCCTAAGCTGGTGTATCAAGGAACGTCATATCCAAATGCAGCGACAGCAGACCAGCCAAGCTAACGAGACCACTGAGACCTTATCTAGCTGATTATACCCAGCCAGGCCAATTCTCTGTTTTGAGAGCCGTGCTTACTGGTACAGGGTCCGATCCTGCCTCCGTTCAAGTCAAGGCTCGGGTACTGACTGTTGCTGGGGTGCAGCATCAGGAGAGCGCAAGGATACAACCGGAGGAGAAAGAAGAGGACAGACCAATTTTCAACAAGTCAGATCCACTCAGCAGCAGCTGCATTACCGACCCGGGACTCACGGCAGCCCCTTCCCGCTCGCCTAGCGCATGGCATCAGAGAAACTGCTGATACGGGTCGTCTTTGGACGCCAGATTCCCCGGGGTATACTGGGAAGTTTAACGAGCGGCTTTCCGTGAGACAGAAGGCCTCTGTGTATCCGCACGGACCATTTCTGTGCACATCTTCATTAATGTGCCATATGCTGGCTCCCAACTAAGCTGTCTTTGTGGGACAGGATATTTTTAATGCAGGCGCCCCGATGCCAAGCCCTGCCAGGAGCGCAGAGCTAATGTTTGCCTGGAGAGCTGCAGCCTTTCCTGTGCCAGCAGAAAGGCACGCGTGGGACAGACTCAGCCCTCTTTCCCCTTTTCCAGAGGAGCTTTAGGTTTGCTCGAACATAAGCAAAAACCAGTATCTGGCTCTAACACGCTGTAGTAAGAGATTCAAGCCTTTCTCTCTACAGACTTTGCAGGAACCAGCAGACGGGGTTTCTGCAGGAACCGGGCAGACAGGCCACTCCAGGGCCGCTTTAATCTCATCAAAATACCGCGTTCTGTCGACACTCTGCTTTCTACACTCCAAAGCATTAAACCCTCAAGCATCACCTCTAACAACCGCAGAGAAACTTGTCGAGAACAGGTCTGCCATGCTGAGGACCGCAGAGTCCCCCGAGCCGACAAGCAAGTTCCCACGCGCAGCGCCGCGGTGCCAGACCTGTGGCGAAGAGGGTGACGGCGGGACCTCCCCTGGGCCCCCTGTGCTAGGGGAAAAGCCCACCCAGTCCCTTTCGTTACAGACTGTCGTGTGCTTCACAGGCACAGACACCTCTACACATTCCTTTATAATGTTATCCTTCCAGGAGAAAACACTCGCACTGCCTGGGGAGGCTGGTTGACTGATGTGCAAAGTGAGAAGCAATCTGCAAAGCTTTGTACAGTACAGAAATCAAGTTCAAAACCATGTATGCAACATTTGCATGAGAACTCAAAGCTCTTCCAGCTTCAAAGGGCAGTTTACACCATTGCAGCACTCGCACATTAATAAAAAAGAGCCTCAACTTGACATTTCTCAAACTCCGTTTGATATATAATTGCAAGGGAAGATCAAAGTCCAGGGGGAAATAGATGGTTTTGCATTACCACACACAGAGCAGAGCTCAGCGAGCAGGAGAGATTCCAAAAACACCAACATATTGAGCCACAGAAAGAAAACGATGTAAAGAAGCCATTCTTACAACTACTATGATGCTACACAGTCACCTGCTCCCGACATCCTTGCTTGTGGCCTCAAGCACGCAGCCTGCGGCGAGTCGTCTGCGACACTGGTGCTGGCCACCATGGCGTGGGGCTGCGAGCTCGGGGACACAAACACGCCACTGCCGGGGACGGATCCCCGGTGCCCTTGCTGAGCCCCGGCCAGCCCGAGGGGACGGACGCCAGCCCGAGGGGACGGACAGACGCCAGCCCAGCACGCTCTGAGCAAGGCAGACCTTGCAGTTTCTGCTGGGGCCAGCAAGGAGCCGAGCTCGGCTTCTGGGGGCGAGCGAAGCAGCCCCGGAGCAGCACAGGCCTACGGAATGCC